TTTTTTTTCCCAACGGAGTATTTTCAGTGGGTAGAGCAATTTTAAGAACTTCATTTCTTATCAAAATTTAAGTTGTTTAATTCATTGGAATTAGTATGAGAAAGTTATTTCAATTATTTTACAGAGTATATAATTCTAATGTTCATATAATCATATTCATGTTTATATCTAATTTGACAATATCAAAATCCCTACAAATATTTTTTTTTGCAAAGTTTCATAACCTATTATAGCATTTTCTATGTTAAGGTCAACATCCTTGAAATGGAATGTGATTTGTAAAATCTTCCTTAGGAGTATCAAAGTGATGCCATCGGATCACAAGACGTTTGACAACCCCTAAAAATAGTTGTAAATTTGAGATGTTTTTTCTATTTCACTGAAAAAATTTCTTATTCTTGTAATATTTATTTTTTCTTTGACATTTTGTTGCAACAAATGCTATTTTATATCTGAAAATAAATTTAGTTAAACACATACTCCCCCGTCCCACAAAACTTGGTCAAAGTTGAATTGCACGTAGATTAATAAAATAAAAATTTTGTGGTTGAAATTTGTGCAGAGAAGAGAGAAATCATTTTAGCCACATATAGTTTACTTTAAATAGAAATGACGAAGTATTTTGGAACGGCCAAAAAAGGAAATTTGGCCAAATTTTGGGGACGGAGGGAGTAATACTTTACGATATTTTAGAAGTTTTTGCAATATACCCTGTTTAATTAAAATTTGGCCCCGGCTGAACGTTAATGCTAGATCCGCCTCTGCTCATGGGCGTGTCATACTGCCAACTGCCAAGCAATGTTGTCTCCTCTTAAGCATAAAGCACTCATACCTCTATATATTTGAAGGCATACTTTCGGAAAAACGTTTGCAGGTTACTATCACAGCGCAATTATTTTGGTGGCCCTCAGAACTAAATACCATAAACAACGGCACAGGTTTAGATGAAGTTTTGCAAAAGCTCTTTTCGGTATCATCAAACAACAACATACAGGTATATCACTATACTTTATAAAAGATTCTTTTATAAAGTTTTGCTGGCTTAACAAAATTGAAAATTGTGTAATTGGAATTGGAGCAACAATATACAACACATATTTGTTTTCTTTAGGGAAAACGAACAAATATAACTTTGAACTACATGTCAGAACAAATATAGTATTCAACTTTCCTTTTTCGAATAGTTGAACACAGAAGTTGTAAAGTTGGAATAAATATATCCTTGAACCATGTATGAGAGAACACACACATATGTATGTATATATAGGGGAAAAATAATTAAAATACCCCAAACTTTGAAGGGGTGTGAGATAAATACCTCAAACTTTCATATGTAATTTAAATATCCCAAACTTTATATATATAGTTCTATTAAGTATTAACATCATGATCATGTATCATTTCTTTCAAAAATGTTAATTTATTATGTTAATTGCATAATTTAAAATAGCAAATTGAAAATGTTGCAATCATATAGAGTGGGGGTGATACTATTTATTTTACAATGGAAGTTTAGAATGTTAATTGTATCTTCATGAATGCTAAAATGTTTTAAATTATGAAATTAACATAAAAATTTGTCATATTTGAAAAAAATAATTCATAACCATGGTGCTAAAATAACTTTTTATATAAAGTTTGGGGTATTTAAATTACATATGAAAGTTTGGGGTGCTTACCCCACACCCCTTCAAAGTTTGGGATATTTTAATTATTTTCTCCTATATATAGGGAAGAGTTCAAATAAAAAGACCTCTTCCCGTGCAAAGTGCGAAGATATGCACTTTTGCATGTTTCGCTCGCACTTTTTCGTGTTTCTATTGCACTTTTTTGCGATGGCGAAAAAGTGAAACATATTTACGAAATTGTCACCGCGAATTTGGTCGAATTTTGTGCATTTTGGACTCATTTTGAGCCATTAGATGTGGAAATGAATGCACAAGATTCATTCTTTGCATGGGAAGAGGTCTTTGTATTTGAACCATCCCCTATATATATATTAGTTAACTATATATTTGGCTATTAGAGAACATGTTATCCTCAACTATTAGGATATACAATAGTATAAGGGTATAAAGGTTCTATCTACATTTTTTTTATTCAATTGTCCCAAGTGGAAGTTGATGGGTATATTTGGTCTTCAACATATTGATCAAAGGGTATAGGAAGTATCAAACATTTTTGTGACAATTGAATGAGAAATGATAGCAGAAGAAACAGTGACATAAGAAAAACATATTTTATTTTAAATTTAACAACACGAATAATTGTTTACAGTAATGTATTGTTTCCTTTCTTCACAATTCATTGGTTTCTTTTTCTATTATTTAATGCAGAGTTTTGGAATGGCAGTTTCTAAACTACTTAAACAGGAGGTAGACAGTGGCAACTTTTCACTATTTAAGGCCTCATGAGGCCTTAAATAATGTAAAGAAATGTGTAACTTTTTGAAATGTGCTAAAGATTTACTGATTAGCAGATATATTTGTTTGTTTAGTAGGCTAATATTTAGGGTTATCTGTTTTTTTTTTTTTTAATTTATGCAGCTCGAATTTTATCATTATTTACGGAGTATTTTATGATTTATAATGAGTAGCAGATACAGTATTATCATAACAAGATACATTCACACTCTTCATTTATTCTTGCATTACCATCCGTTTTTGGAAAGTTTAGTAAAACTTATTTGGTAAGTTTAGTAAAATAATACGGAGTAATATTCTGTAACAGTTAATAGGCTAGCCTAGTTAAAATTAGTAAGGAAATAATAAATACCACTATGTAAGAGTGACACAAATATCCCAAACTTACATATGAAATATTATATCCTCAACTCTATATTTTTTTTGGAAAAAACAAACACATCATATTAAAGAATTATATCGTCTGTCAAATGTCACATACAATGAAATCAGGCATATGGTCACAATGGCATCTATGATCTGAGAGTGACATATTCGCCCTAGCAATTAGGGGTGGACTGGGTCGGGTTGGCCTAACGCTGTTGGGACTTGATTTGAATCGGTCAACAGGGACCAGAAGTGGGCTACGGGCTTAGAAATAGGTGGACTGTGCCGGCCGGGCCCAAATAATTTTTTATTTATTAACCTTTTCGGGTAGGGCTTGTTTTAGGTGGGTGGGGGGTCGAATAAATTCTAAAAGATAATAAATAAAAATAATTTTGCCTGACCCGGCCCGGTCCTGGTTCTAACCCCCGCCGGGTACCGAGTTTGAATGTGTACATACAATCCGGAGCCCACATTAGCCCGACCTGGAGCCCGTCCCTGTACAGGCTCAGTCCACCCCTACTTGCAATAACATGAGTTACACGATTCACATATTTTTTACAAAAAGAAATACTAAAATTACTCTTTGTTTTAATAAGGTGTCTAATGTCATCAATCAGTAAATTAAGGTACAAGCTCCCTTTCCTTTTTTAATTTTGTGTACCACTGTGAGGGAATTCGATTCGACCTCAACTTGTTCCCATCCTTCCTTTTGTGCTCCTAGAATAGTCTCTTGTATAGTTGTGTTCCAACCGCTTCAATTCCAATTGTTTCATCTTTGTCTGGGTCCAGTTCATGTGACATGACTCGTGGTCATGTTCAATCATGATAAAGTTTATTAATTTAATTAATTTCAAGGTGTAATAAAAAGGATTGAATCTGAATATGATGAATAAAAACGAGGAGAAAATTAGAGAAAGCGGCGCCAAGCAAAAAAATTCAATGGAAAAGTTTACTTGTGTAAAGAAATTAAATTCTGAATGCCCCCTTCAAGATGAGAACGCATAGAAGAACAATAATTTAGCTACTAAAAATAAACTAGTTCAGAATGATTACATCATTGGAGGAGAGATTTGAGGAGGTGATAATAATAGAATTAATTTCTTAAATATGACTGAAACATTTATATAGTGTACATATAGGATCATCATTATTTCCTTTCTAAATAAGGATCACCAATATTATAATATGATTGGTTTAGACAGAATAGAGTTTTACAAATTTGTATAGAAGTCTTGAAATATTATTATTATTATGCATGTCAGTTTAGATAGAAAAAAGTTCTATTTTTTTTGAAACATTAGGCTCATTTAATTTTTCGCCCCTAGACCTTCCAACATACAGGCCCGTCCCTGTAAATGGGCCAAACAGATCGTTAATTGATCATAGACTCTTATACCAAATTGGATATCAATCGCGTGTATTCTATTCACATGAGTGGAGTTTAAATAATACTACCGTACATAGTAAAATACAAGAGTCCTATTGTCTATCAGATACGTAGGAAGTGGAGCTATTGAACTGACTAAGGGTGTGTTTGGCACAAGTAGCTAAAAAGATACTTTTGCGAGCTTTTTAGTAACTGTTAGCTTTTAGTGACTAAAAAGATCTTAAAAAGTAAATGCGATAGCTGTTTGATAAAAAGCTGACTGTTTGATTTAGTTCGGTACTTCGGTTTGATATACAAACTGTTGGGACTAATTAATACTAAAAGTCACGAGCTGTTCTCAGATGCTACACCCGACAGCATCTCAAAAAAGATTTTTTAATTTTTGAAGAACTCTTAAAAATGTCATGCCAAACATACAACTAGAGTCTTTTAAGGTCTTTTTAAAGAATATAGAAGCTAGAAGTTTTTGTGTGCAAATAGTCTAAGGCTATGTTTGGTACAATTAGCTGAAAAGATCTTTTTGTGAGCTTTTTAGTAACTGTTAGCTTTTAATGACTGAAAAGATCTTAAAAGTAAAAGGTGGTAGCTGTTTGGTAAAAAGCTGACTGTTTGATTTAGTTCTGTTTGGCATACAAGCTGTTAGGATTTATTAAAGCTAAAAGTCACAGATTTTTCTCAGATGCTACTACCTATAGCATCTCAAAAAAGAGCTTTTATTTTTTGAAAAGCTCTTAAAAATTGGCGTGCCAAACAATCAACTAACAACTTTTAGAGACTTTTTAAATAATACAAAAGCCAAAAGCTATAGACCTCAGCAAAACATAGCCTAATACCAATCGGATAGCTACGCTACAAAATAGTTTACAAATTCTATCAACATACTAAATGATTGGAACGGCCAAGTGATAAATATGCATGCTACGCATGCAGTACGTTAATAGCCTCTCCATTGGGTGAATTGAAGGATTTGTAAGAGTCAAAAGCAAGATTCGCAGTTGTCAAAAGCTTTGAACCCTTGTTCTAGATTTTCTGGAAAGGTAATTCCTAGCTATAGTCTGAGATTAACAAACACTGCCTTAAAAATTGTCTCATTAGGAGTTCCAATGCGACCGGGATAGAGATACTACTCCGTATTATAAAAACGCATGTAATTTGCCCTAAGTTTACATCAGAATTGCGAAGACGTACTGAAGTTTTGGGGAGAATACGTGCGTTATGGCAATCGCCTCAACCTCGATGATCAGGGCGAGTAATCTTCTGCGGTCGTTTGGATGCAGAGAGCTTTCATCACCATTCTCCCACCCAGTTACTCCATTACGTTTCTTCCAATCGTCAAAATTCACTCTTGAAAGTTCAAGATCACAACTTTCTATCCGTGGGGTTGCTGCAACAAACCCAAAACACACTCTGAGCGAGCAAAGCCTACCCAGAATAGCTTCATGCGATGCCCTGAAGTCGATCATGAAACATTATCAAGCTGCTGCCCTGCTGTTATTCGGATTGCTGCTTGTTAAAACCAGCTTTCCTTGTTACCCAGCATTTTCTCTACCCACACCTGCACCTGTTGTTGATTCTTCATCCTCAACACCACACGATGATGAACTGATTGTTATCAAAGGGGGACACTTATTTATATTTGCAGCGCTCCATATTTTACTCTTGTCTGCATTTTTTGACTGGACTACTGCTATCAAATTTCAGGTATGGCTTAAACACTGTTCTTTTTAAGCTTTCGATTTGCATCTGTGTGTTTGACTATGGAGCACGGATAAAAGTATTCACTGCTTGTAAGTTAGAACGTGTTGCAATGCAGCCAAAGATTCACAATTTTTTGGCGTGGGAATAAGATGCAATAAAGTAAATTGGTATTCATCCGAACCCCTTACCCCGTAGGTGAGAGCCTTTGTGGCACTGGGGTTCGGGTATCAAGACGGCTTATTCCTAAGAGCCGAGGCGTAAGCCTCAAAATATACCGACATATAAAACTTCAAATAGTTAAACTGAAGAAAGAACTCAAGAGGTAAAGGATATCCATAATTATAAGTCCAAAAAGTGTGAGACACAAACAGATGTGACCTATTATTCGCGAGTCACTAGACTTCAAACACACAAAAAGTAACATCTCACAGAAACAGAGATATCACAGTCTCACAAACACACAGAAACATCACACACAAACTGAAACATCACAGACAACCAGACACATCACACAATTGACATAGTTCAAAAATCTTGAAGGCATGAAGCTTAATCATCATGACAGGAAAGTTCTTCGGAAGAATCATCATATCTTAGGGCCTCATCGCCATCATCACTATCAAAATCATCCCATTCTCCCTCCTCATACTCTTCATCTTCATCATCATCATCATTTGCCTCCACTACTTGTTTATTTTTCTAATTGTTTCCTTGGTTACCCATCCGCTTGCTTGAAATTTCTTTTGTTTGAGCTTCCTGTGATGGTTGACCTCCAAAAAATCGACATCAAGGTCATCCCTAAATGTGTTTGGTTCAACACCATTTTCACCTACCAGCCATTCATCATCAGATGGCAAGTCATCAACCTACAGATTTTCCTTTTCATTGGTTAGGGATCTCAGTTTAAGGTGTCGATGTTTAAGTCTTTTGTTGAACATTATATAGACAAAAGAGTTCATCCTAATTGTTGTCAAGTGATTTCTTCTCTTGGTGTGTACTTGATTGAAAGTACTCCAATTTCGCTCACAGTCGGATGATGAACAAGTAAGATGTAATACTTCTATTGCAAAAGTTTGAAGCTCGGGAGTGCCATCTCCGTATTGAATCCACCTTTCAACTGAAAAGAAGAAAACATTTCTTGAACTATAAAGCTTAAGTGTGCAGAAACATATTGTAGGCAGAAAGCTCAAGTGACATCTCCATATTTCTTAAAAAGACTATAATGTACAGTTTTGAAAAGAAATAATCAGTTTTTTTTTTTAATTTTAAATGCGCAGAAACAGAAAGTTTATAAAATGTTCCAGTGGTTCTCTTAAAGATTGTATTTTTTGCTTGACAAAAGCCAAAAAACCTTCTTGGTTGTGGAAAGTGCTGCATTGAAGGTCAGCTTTCGCCCGATCTTCTCTGCTAAGTATGAGTTTCTCCAAGCAATGAAACAAACCAAGCTTGACCTCCGGTTGAGTTGAAAAGTTATCAGCGTAATAGCAACGGGGATTCAGATAGTATCCCATTTCTCATCAATACTATCCCATATTTCCTTGTAATCTTTTACATCTCCACCTAAATTCCTTGCTATCTTTTCCTTGCCTCATCCATATCATTATAGAGGTAAGCCATTGCGGGTTCTTTTCAGAATCAACTAAACTCAACACTTCTACCAACGATTTTGTGGATTTGATAGTGTAGGCCATACTTGCCCCAGTAATATTTATCCTTGAGAAACATTCTTTCTGGTACAAGCAAAATGGTCTTTCATACTCTTTATACCTCCTGTGATTGTTTTTCACAATCGTTGCACTGTAGGTATTTATAGTTCTTCTTTTCTCCAGGAATGTTTACTTCAACATTATGCTTCCAAGAAGGGTCTCTTCTGTTCCTCTTAGCTCCCGTAGCAATACCAAGGCCTTCAGACATCTTTTCTTTGAACCTCTCACCATTATACTAAATCTACACAGAAGTAATAGAAACAACACGACGAAGCTAAGGAAGCAAAGTAAACCTTTACCAGTTAGAATACTTGAACAACAGTTCTGTAAAAGAATGATAAGAAGCAGTGAAGGATAGGATTTCAATATGAATAGGAGCAAGAGAAGGGAATGGAGTAGAAGAGAAGTTACCTAGAAGCTTTTGCACTGTCGTAAGAAGATGTCGCAGGAGAAAGAGAGAGTGAGTTCTTTGCGTAGGTGAATAGAAAGTATACGTTAGGGACGTAAGGGTTTAAATGAATAAGACTTATTAGGATTTAAATGAAATAAGACTTGTTAGAGTTTGGTACATGGACTTCTATTTAAAAAGTACTTACCTTTGTATTAAATGAAACACTTGGGCCTTTTATAAAATGAAATACTTGGGCCTCAGGGTGCGCCTCAACCTATGAGGCATAAACCTCTTAACTTGCAAAAAAAACCTAAGCCCTGATACCTAACCAGTACGCCTCAGCTTGAGGCGCGCCTCAAAACCTGCCTCTTAAGCGCCTTTTTAAACTATGGTCATAATTCATCTAGCTTCCATGAACATTTTTTCTTGCTTGATTTTGTAATAGAAAAAGCAAAACTTTATGTTTTGTTCTATAGATGTTTGATTATTGTGAATAATAATGCAAATGCGGTTTAATATCAATAACTCTCTACATGTATCACTATTTTATTACTATTATTTGTTTTATCAGGTTGCATTTCATGGACCTGTGGATTCACTATTCCACGATCTTTGTGAAATTAATGTATTAAAGAAGATAGTTGGATATAATGAAGGATTCGAAGGTAAATAGTCTATTGACACATATTGTGTTCTCCCTTTCAGTTCCCTCTATTTTTCCCTTGAGAGAAATGGTTTGCGCTCAGCTATTGATTGACATAGCACTCCTTTAAAGAGGTACTAAGCCTACATCTCATAGGATCACTGGTAATAATCAAGCAAACACAGTGATAGATCCAGAGAAATTATGCAGGAGAATGGGGAAAGAGTGTTTATTGAATGAGAAGTAGTAGGAGTACGTATACAAGCCTTGGGACTGTTCGAGAAGCTCACTCTCTAAAGCCTAAATGCCAATTCAGTAATTGCCTGCCTTCTTTAGCTACCCTCCACTTCTATTTATAGTAACAGTCCACGCAGGGACCAAACAAACAACTAATTAGCTATTGGACCCCTTAGACACCTTATTTCTCTTATTCTGCCCCTTAATAAAATACTGACTAGGCTGATTCCTATCAACATCTAAGGTGCCTAAGCATCAGTTGCCAGAAACTAGGCCTATGCATATGTGTAGCTGAAATTCAGAGAAGAAGTCTTAAAGGTGAAAAGGTTATATGGAGCGTAGGCCTTTTTAGAGTGGCTTATTTTTAAATCTAAGCTTCAGTGAGACACCCTACCCTAGTCTTCTTCCTCTCTTAGTCCCTCCCGCATATGAGCTTCCCCATCTTTCTATCCATAGATTCTAGCACTCACCAGTAGCTGAGCTGTCTATGCTTGCCACTAGAGGGCGTAGACTGTTTACGTCCAAAAAGTCTGCTTTGTTTGAGTTGAGGTTTGGGTACATGCATATAGATATTCTGCACAAGCAGATTGACTAAATTCTCACACAGTCACCAACATTTACCCTTTTAGATCAATTATTTAATTTTAAAAGAATAACACCCTTTATTCCTATCCTCTCTAATAGGTACTTTCAAACACTTCAATTTCATGTGGTTTGAGAAAGTAGTTGTCCCATTTTTATTTTACTTTAATATGCATAAACCCTTTTTGTGTGCCAGACACTATCTGCATATAAATTTGGGTAAAACAAGAGTAAGCACTAGATTATACCGTGTGTTTTTACAGTAAATCACATGGAATGTATTGATCGGAATGCTGATTTTTAACTCCTAATTAAGCTTTTTTGCTTATAGCTTCACAGGCGAGTTTTGCCTCAAGGTATTAGCTTTGACCCGTTGGCTGTTCCGAAATGATTTCATTTTCTATTTTTTTTCCTACATTGGAGATTTTTTCAATTCTTTAGATATTCACCTTTATTGAGGGCTTAAACCACTTGTAAAATTGCAAACCATTATGCAAGCTGACAAGCTCTTATATTAACAATTTATGGTGTTACGTAATAGTCTTCTGCTTCTGAAAAGAGAAGAGGAAACAAGACTTTTTTTTCCAAACGGAGTATTTTCAGTGGGTAGAGCAATTTTAAGAACTTCATTTCTTATCAAAATTTAAGTTGTTTAATTCATTGGAATTAGTATGAGAAAGTTATTTCAATTATTTTACAGAGTATATAATTCTAATGTTCATATAATCATATTCATGTTTATATCTAATTTGACAATATCAAAATCCCTACAAATATTTTTTTTTGCAAAGTTTCATAACCTATTATAGCATTTTCTATGTTAAGGTCAACATCCTTGAAATGGAATGTGATTTGTAAAATCTTCCTTAGGAGTATCAAAGTGATGCCATCGGATCACAAGACGTTTGACAACCCCTAAAAATAGTTGTAAATTTGAGATGTTTTTTCTATTTCACTGAAAAAATTTCTTATTCTTGTAATATTTATTTTTTCTTTGACATTTTGTTGCAACAAATGCTATTTTATATCTGAAAATAAATTTAGTTAAACACATACTCCCCCGTCCCACAAAACTTGGTCAAAGTTGAATTGCACGTAGATTAATAAAATAAAAATTTTGTGGTTGAAATTTGTGCAGAGAAGAGAGAAATCATTTTAGCCACATATAGTTTACTTTAAATAGAAATGACGAAGTATTTTGGAACGGCCAAAAAAGGAAATTTGGCCAAATTTTGGGGACGGAGGGAGTAATACTTTACGATATTTTAGAAGTTTTTGCAATATACCCTGTTTAATTAAAATTTGGCCCCGGCTGAACGTTAATGCTAGATCCGCCTCTGCTCATGGGCGTGTCATACTGCCAACTGCCAAGCAATGTTGTCTCCTCTTAAGCATAAAGCACTCATACCTCTATATATTTGAAGGCATACTTTCGGAAAAACGTTTGCAGGTTACTATCACAGCGCAATTATTTTGGTGGCCCTCAGAACTAAATACCATAAACAACGGCACAGGTTTAGATGAAGTTTTGCAAAAGCTCTTTTCGGTATCATCAAACAACAACATACAGGTATATCACTATACTTTATAAAAGATTCTTTTATAAAGTTTTGCTGGCTTAACAAAATTGAAAATTGTGTAATTGGAATTGGAGCAACAATATACAACACATATTTGTTTTCTTTAGGGAAAACGAACAAATATAACTTTGAACTACATGTCAGAACAAATATAGTATTCAACTTTCCTTTTTCGAATAGTTGAACACAGAAGTTGTAAAGTTGGAATAAATATATCCTTGAACCATATATGAGAGAACACACACATATGTATGTATATATAGGGGAAAAATAATTAAAATACCCCAAACTTTGAAGGGGTGTGAGATAAATACCTCAAACTTTCATATGTAATTTAAATATCCCAAACTTTATATAAATAGTTCTATTAAGTATTAACATCATGATCATGTATCATTTCTTTCAAAAATGTTAATTTATTATGTTAATTGCATAATTTAAAATAGCAAATTGAAAATGTTGCAATTATATAGAGTGGGGGTGATACTATTTATTTTACAATGGAAGTTTAGAATGTTAATTGTATCTTCATGAATGCTAAAATGTTTTAAATTATGAAATTAACATAAAAATTTGTCATTTTTGAAAAAAATAATTCATAACCATGGTGCTAAAATAACTTTTTATATAAAGTTTGGGGTATTTAAATTACATATGAAAGTTTGGAGTGCTTACCCCACACCACTTCAAAGTTTGAGATATTTTAATTATTTTCTCCTATATATAGGGAAGAGTTCAAATAAAAAGACCTCTTCCCGTGCAAAGTGCGAAGATATGCACTTTTGCATGTTTCGCTTGCACTTTTTCGTGTTTCTATCAAGGTTCGAAATTGCGAATTGCGTAGTCGTGGCGTTTTTTTAATATAGCATATTGCGTAAGCCTCATTGCGCAATGAGGCGTATAGCTGAGGCGTAATATATACTCCCTCCGTCCCCTTTTAAATGTCCCGGAAGAGGGTGACACAGGTTTTAAGAAAAGTGAGTTTGTGTGGTTGATATTAATTGATAAAGTAAGAATAAAGTAAGAATAATTTTGAGCCACACAAACTTTACCAAATAAGGTATGGGACAATTAAATAAGGACATCCCAATATGGTAAAACGGGACATTTAAAAGGGGACAGAGGGAGTATATTATATATATATATATATATATATATATATATATATATATATATATATATATATATAGGGGTGGGCAAACGGGTCTTGGAACCGCGGTCCGGTCCGGGTAATGGCGGTTCGGGTCCAAAACGGGCCGGTTCCATTTTTTGTTTTCATAAAACGGTCCGGGTAGGTCCGGGTAATTTTTTTAAGGACCCGGGCCGGTTCCAAAATAAAAAAATATCGGGTACCCGGCCCGGCCCGTTATATATATTGTATATTAATTTATTAATAGTTTTGTGATAATCGGTTTTGAAATAGTTTTGTTTTCCTTTGCTAGAAGTAGGGTTTTAAATTGAGTTGCAGTAACATCATTTTGCTTTCAAATTATTGATTAAATTTTACATAAATTTCTTATTATTTTTATTGTTATTGAATTATTCCTTTCTATGGAATTTAATTATTTGTTAAAAATGATTTTGTAATATTTGTTTTTATAATATTATTCTTAAAATATAAAAATTTTGATTACCACCCCCATGTATGTGTCACCTTAATATGTGATGTTACACAATATTTTTAAATTCAAATGTTAGAAAATATATATTTTGGCTTTGTTGCTGATTTTTGGAACTTTAATTGTTTGAAACTTATATACATGAAATTATGGAGTATTGGACTTGTCACTTGTGTTACATGTGCACCACTATGTTGTTATTTTGAAACTTGCTAATGTACTATATTATTAATTATTGATTTTTGGAACTTTGTGAGTTTTTACTAATTTTAAGACATGAGAATAGAAACCGTAAAACCCGGACCGGACCGACCCGTTTCAAACGGGTCGGGTAAGGTCCGGTTCCTATTTTGAAAATTGCAATACCCACCGGACCGGACCGTACAATGAAACCGGCGGTTCCATTTTATTTTGCATTACCCGACCCGGCCCGTGCCCAGCCCTATATATATATATATAAACATAATAAAAAATAAACATATTCATCAAAAGTCATCAAATGTTATATTAAAACAAACCATAAGAGGCCAAGCAAAGTAACTTGTTCAAACTTCAAAGTACCATAGAATACCAAAACATTCTAAATCATTCATCAAAACAAAAATCTAAGATATGAAAATTTAAATTAATTATATTGATTGACTGAAAATTTCAATCAATAACTACTGGTTTCAAATAGGGATCATAAGATCAATTATAAAAATTTAAAAGTGGGCCGAGTGGGCCCAAATAATACCCTTACACCCGGAACTCTTATTGCGTACGCCTCAGAGCGCATTATTGCGTATCCAATATTGCGTACGCCTCAGTGCAATATTGCGTACGTCACACTCCCAGCGCCATATGTAATGCCTTTTACGACATAGTCCAGGAATTAGCTGAGGCACGCCATGAGGCGCAATTGCATTGCGCAATTACAAACAATGGTTTCTATTGCACTTTTTTGCGATGGCGAAAAAGTGAAACATATTTACGAAATTGTCACCGCGAATTTGGTCGAATTTTGTGCATTTTGGACTCATTTTGAGCTATTAGATGTGGAAATGAATGCACAAGATTCATTCTTACTTTGCATGGGAAGAGGTCTTTGTATTTGAACCATCCCCTGTATATATATATATATTAGTTAACTATATATTTGTCTATTAGAGAACATGTTATCCTCAACTATTAGGATATACAATAGTATAAGGGTATAAAGGTTCTATCTACATTTTTTTTATTCAATTGTTCCATGTGGAAGTTGATGGGTATATTTGGTCTTCAACATATTGATCAAAGGGTATAGGAAGTATCAAACATTTTTGTGACAATTGAATGAGAAATGATAGCAGAAGAAACAGTGACATAAGAAAAACATATTTTATTTTAAATTTAACAACACGAATAATTGTTTACAGTAATGTATTGTTTCCTTTCTTCACAATTCATTGGTTTCCTTTTCTATTATTTAATGCAGAGTTTTGGAATGGCAGTTTCTAAACTACTTAAACAGGAGGTAGATAGTGGCAACTTTTCACTATTTAAGGCCTCATGAGGCCTTAAATAATGTAAAGAAATGTGTAACTTTTTGAAATGTGCTAAAGATTTACTGATTAGCAGATATATTTGTTTGTTTAGTAGGCTAATATTTAGGGTTATCTGTTATTTTTTTTAATTTATGCAGCTCGAATTTTATCATTATTTACGGAGTATTTTATGATTTATAATGAGTAGCAGATACAGTATTATCATAACAAGATACATTCACACTCTTCATTTATTCTTGCATTACCATCCGTTTTTGGAAAGTTTAGTAAAACTTATTTGGTAAGTTTAGTAAAATAATACGGAGTAATATTCTGTAACAGTTAATAGGCTAGCCTAGTTAAAATTAGTAAGGAAATAATAAATACCACTATGTAAGAGTGACACAAATATCCCAAACTTACATGTGAAATATTATATCCTCAACTCTATATTTTTTTTGGAAAAAACAAACACATCATATTAAAGAATTATATCGTCTGTCAAATGACACATACAATGAAATCAGGCATATGGTCACAATGGCATCTATGATATGAGAGTGACATATTCGCCCTAGCAAAGGGGTGGACTGGGTCGGGTTGGCCTAACGCTGTTGGGACTTGACTTGAATCGGTCAACAGGGACCAGAAGTGGGCTACGGGCTTAGAAATAGGTGGACTGTGCCGGCCGGGCCCAAATAATTTTTTATTTATTAACCTTTTCGGGTAGGGCTTGTTTTAGGTGGGTGGGGGGTGGGGGTGGGGGTTGAATAAATTCTAAAAGATAATAAATAAAAATAATTTTGCCTGACCCGGCCCGGTCCTGGTTCTAACCCCCGCCGGTACCGAGTTTGAATGTGTACATACAATCCGGAGCCCACATTAGCCCGACCTGGAGCCTGTCCCTGTACAGGCTCAGTCCACCCCTACTTGCAATAACATGAGTTACACGATTCACATATTTTTTACAAAAAGAAATACTAAAATTACTCTTTGTTTTAATAAGGTGTCTAATGTCATCAATCAGTAAATTAAGGTACAAGCTCCCTTTCCTTTTTTAATTTTGTGTACCACTGTGAGGGAATTCGATTCGACCTCAACTTGTTCCCATCCTTCCTTTTGTGCTCCTAGAATAGTCTCTTGTATAGTTGTGTTCCAACCGCTTCAATTCCAATTGTTTCATCTTTGTCTGGGTCCAGTTCATGTGACATGACTCGTTGAAGGCTTTGATAAATTCACCCTGATCGTTTATTGCAATCCAACTCCAAATTCTAATATCTTTGGCGTCATTAATGGTTGTATAAACATGTATTTTGATTTTTTTTTACTCCAAGGGATCTAGGGGAGGGGGCTGGGGGAGCCAGGGTTAATCAGGACTGAACTCACTCCATTAAGTTTCAACCCCTTATGTGCATAGCGGGTTTCGAGTCATTTTCTTCAAAATTCTATGTACCCGAGTCATTTTCTTCAAAATTTAGAGATCACACAAATGAGAGCACACAAATGAAAAAAATAAGCAATATAACATTTTATGAAAAATAATTGTTTGTCGCATGACAACAAGCTAATTGATGGGGTAGACAACACTCAAATAGGTCCATTTAAGATGTTTTTAATTGGACTTATTTCGATCAAAATCAAAAATTAAACATAAATAAATCAGATTACATACGACAACACCAAGACAAATCAAATCAAATTTGAGCAGACTTAAACAAAACCGAGTAATAAAATTCACATCATTCGGCTGTTGCTAGACCAAATTTAAACAGAAAAATGGGAAAATTTTATTTCAAAATTGTACATGTGTAATACTGGTGTCAAATGAAAGATCACAAAAAAATTAATTTTATATAGTTTTTATTAAGACTAGATTACTCATGAAAACGTTATGTCATTTTACAAAACATGGTGTGTTTGCTGCATGCACTAAACTATTGGTTGTAAGTCAATTTTGAAACTCATTAAGAGTTCCGTATTGCTTATGAGGTGTCGCGTATGAAGCTTCTATTAATTTACTTAGTGCTCCGTATAATAATTTAATTAAAGAATAGGGAGAAAATTGTCCTGCTAAAGTTACGTTTAGCAATAATAGTGGTGCGCCCAGCAACACCCTTCAAATAACTTTCCCTGCCACAGAAAAACTAAAAAAAGTAATTCCGTCCCTGCGTGAGTGCGTTCCTATTTTTTTTCTCTTCCTTAGAACATTTATTAGACGTCTACATGGTTTTTGCGAGAGAGGGAGGTAGATACAGTAAAGGAAGCCTGGGCAGTAAAGGAAAATAGGAAAAAACAGCCATTCCTAAACGCCGGTTTGATAGCATTTAATATTTTGGCTGTTTGGGATAAAAAGCTAAACAAAAAAGCCATTTAACCAAATACTTTATTAGCTGATTGATTTGGTCAAAAAGTCAAATATTGATCAAATCAGCCAAAAAATGGCTGGTAGGCTCTTAACCAAACACCCCCTATAATTTAGTCATGCTAATTTAATTAGCATTCTATGAGGCCGTTTGGAACCACTGTTTTTCGTCTTATCAGCCAACTTTTTCACCAAACACGTAATTTTTGTTTTCGCGCGCTGAATTGAATAATAAGCAGAAAAAGTAAGGTTGGAGTTACTTTTCTGGCTGTATTGGCTGAAGTTACTGTAGATGACCATTTTAGTTACATATAATTTTTTTCTTTATTTTATTAATAAAATATATTTTAAAAATATTTTTTCCTTAAATCAGCAGAATCAGCCAATGCAGCCACTTCAACCATAATTTCATAAATTTCAGCAGAATCAGCCAAATCAATCGATTTTTGTGCTACCAAACGGGCTCTATAATAGCTCTACAATCCTATTTAGGTCTCCTATTCAATCAATTCTGTCCAAATTTTTCCTCTTCATTTTACAAGAGTCTCCTAAATCAAGTAATTGCTCTCTCTAAATTTACTCTTTAATTCTCTTCAATCTTCTTTTGATTATTCCTTAATGTTTTAATCTATTTTAATTTTCTCTCCATTTTTTCTTTGACCTTTGTAATTTTTCTTTGAATCACAAGAAGATTTAAATATGCTTTTCTTATTATTGTGCTTATTGTTTTTAAGAATTTAGTTCACTCTTTTGCTAATTTAAAAAGAGAGTTTAGCAATATTAAGTAGAGCAACATTGATTTGTTCTTTTTATACAACAGTTTTGGTAATGATATATTCACATTTATTTATTTATGTATATCATTATGTATTTATTTAAACAAAATTATTTTTTAATGTTCAATTATCTTTCTCTTTGAGTACAATGTATCTTTGTCATTTGTACAATTAATCATCTTTCATTTAGTTTTGATTTTTTTATTGTTAAGATATATTATTTCATTCTTTTCTTTAAGATATGTAGTTTAAATGCAAGTTGTAATAAACTTATTGTGCTAAGAGAATATCATCAAATATGTAGTATAAGATATCATTCAACCGAACAAATCAATTTGATATTCCCTTAGTCTCAACCAAACACAAATGTGATACAATTGAGTACATTCTCATCAATCTAACATACCCAACAATCTAACAGTTTCAAAGTAATTTGACGTTCCGTAAACCAAACGGAGCCTCAATGTAACTGTTAACCACTCCTTGAAGGTTCATGTTGACTGTTGTCTCTCCAAAACTCCTCCCAGTAGTTGTTCAAACTTCCTTGACCTTCTCGCACAATCGCTTATGCATGTTCCACCGTCTCCTCCATGTTCCTAAATGCAGCGGTTTCATGTATAAAAAAAGTAGTGGATTGAAGAACCTGCCGTTTTCCAAACGGGTCCTTAAACTTTAAGTATAAGTGTAAGGTTAAGTTTAAAGTTTATGTTAAAGTATAAATTTACCTTGAAAAATACTGAAATATTTCAGTTTCAGTTTTCAAAGTTTAAACTAGCTGAAACGCATGAGTGTTTTAACTTGAACTTGAAAATTAAAAGTTCAAACTACTTGGTTTAAATTTAAAGTTCAAACTAGCTGATTTAAAAGTGAAGTTTATGTTCAATTAACTCCAGAGCTTAATATTTCATAATATTGAAGTTTTAATTTCACTTCTCTGACTTCAAACTAGCTGAAAGTTTAAATATAAAGTTTAAAATTCAAAGTTCAAGTTACTTGAAGTAGCTACCAAACTAAAACTTAAATTTTAACCTAACAAACTAAATTTAAAGTTTAAGTTTAAACAGAAATTGAAAGTACGAGAAACTTTAAACTTGAACTTCAAAGTTTAAAGCTGAAACAACCTGGTTTAAAGTTAAAGTTCAATTTGAAGTTGTCGGTTTAAGCATTAAATTGTGTGTTTCTGTGCAAGTTTTGGTGAAGATGATCAAGGTACTTTTCCTAATTTCAAGCATAGAAAGTTTTCCAGGAACATACATGCAAACTGGAGCATGAAGTATAGGGGAAACAAGCTAAAAAAATTTAGGCCCGAGCATTATGCTTGATAGTTGTCTAATTATGCATTATGCATTATGCATAAAGAAATTTGCGCAATTGTTGCAAGCTCCACATGATGAGGCAGTCACTAATTGTAGAGTGGTGACCTCTTCCAAGACTGGGTGTGTAATCAGCATGACTTCCAGGCAAGGTTTCTGTTGGTAACGTTAACTCCATCTGGCACATATAATAGTGCACATGATATGGCAGCTGGAACATACTACCTCCGTCCCAAATTGATTTGCAAATTTGACTTTTCTTGGTTAAACAGTTTCATTTTATTTGCTTAATTAGGATGTCAATTTTTAATTATATTCTAATTTGAAGTTTGCAACTTTGAAGAGAATTTAATGTAGTTTCTCAATATGTAAATTTTAATTATTAAAAATTGAGTTAATTATCACTAAAGAGGTTTGACGTTTATTATTGGTTGACCAAAAAATGTTGACTTTGCAAAACAATTTGTGACGGAGGTAGTATGTCATCCTCATCGATGATGTGAGTTTTCAAGTATTCTTTGAGCATCTCTAGCGGCTGGGAGTTCAATCTTCATAAGCATAAAGAAGTCTGAGATATGATACTGAATGCTCAAATGATTTGGTGGTAAAATGGCAAAAGGAGAAAATTGATGGTGTTTCTAACTGAGTTAGAAAAGATAAAAGTGAGTCATGTATAAAAAATAAAGATTGAAAAAGTGTAGTAGCTAGATTTAAAGTCCTTGACTTTGTTTCAGTTGATGTATTTGTATGAGTTGGTTACTTGTTGCAAATAAAATGTATCGAATAGTATATAAATTAG